TCACATAGATTATGACATTCTAACAAGTTACCTTTTTGACTATAAAAACACTCGTCTTAGATCCCATATGATTGTATTAGAATTTCACAGGGGACACGATTTGCTCCTTCAAGATTACAGATAAGCACCTTGCAGACTGATAAGTAGCAAGCATCACGAAACTTCAGTGTCAGGTAGGGCTTTCTGCGTTCAACAATGTCATAGCAACAATTCATCATGGAGAGCCACTTAATATGGTGGTCACATTGTACACTCGACTAATACAATTCAGTCTGCAGCAAAGAAAGAATTAGATGCATACCGCTAGTTTATATCCGACCGAAAGAGTGTTAGGAGTTGAACGGCTGAAATATGACCCAGATCAGCATGTCTTCATTTCCCTAAAATGCACACTATTTTTAAAAAAAACCTTGTAGCCCCCCACCCACCCCCCGCCGCATACTAAGTAAGGGATAAATTGCTGTTGATTGGGGTGGGGGCGGAATATATCCATCTATATTCATATATTTACGGTACTTCAGTAGTTTAAGGGTAAAATGACCACCAGCCATAAAAGTGCATGAAGATACAATTCCATATTAATTTTGTCCATTATATATATCACATAGAGAAACAGTTTTACTGTTTACTGGATGAAAACATTTTCAACACAATCTATTATTGCTAATAATCATATCATCATCAATTATAATCACACGACTTCGAAAGGTTAGTTTTGTAGTTTTCTGTGTTCTCTCCTATGTAGTGAGTATTACACCTGAACTATTCTCTAGAATTCTTATCTTATTCGGGTCAACTAATCTAAATTTTGCTGCTACGGTTTTATGCTTGCTAGTCTGACTGCCCCTGTTCTATCACTTTGGCCTACTTATTTGACCTGACAATGATTGCAGGTGGGATATTAGATAAACCAAATTGTTTTGTTTTAACGGCTCCACAGAATTGATCCTTTAACCGACAAAGCTTATTTCTAATTGAGTTTGTGGGTGGTTTGAATGGCAGCCACTTTTATTCCTGCCGGCATTGTGAAGAATTCTGCGTAAGGTTTCCAAGGTTCCTTCCTTGTATGGAATTACTAGTGATGATTTCGATTCCTTATTATTGGTGCTGTCATTATTCTGCGCATGTTTGACATGCATGTCGTCATTAATATTACAATTATTATTATCACTATCACTACTATCATTATTTATTCGGGTGTGTTGGAACGTTCTAATCGCTAATTCTTCCCATCTGTCCATGAATATATCTGCCACAACTGAGGGTATTGGTGATTTCATGGCAACTCATTTAGTTTCTTTGTATATTTTCCCTTGGAGTTGAAATACTGTGTAAGTCAGACATAGCATTATGTCCTCAAGTGGCACTTTCCTCCTAAGGTCGAGTTCGTGATCAGAAATGAGTTCGTTTCTGACTGCCTCTATAGCCATATATACTGGGGATACGATTCCTTAACTTCTAAGTTCCATGACAATTCTTTTCCATTTAACTGACGGTCAAGATAAAAAGGTGACATAAATTATCACAAGAATGAATTCATCATCCTGTGGTTTTAGACTCCTAAATAGGACAGTAGATTAGATCGGGCCAATTAAGATTTGAATCTCCTCCGGTAGTTATTCTATAGCCTGATTCTTTGTATTTCGTGCTTAGACGAATGATGTAATCACATGGCATGTTAAGTTCAGATGTTTTAATGGGTTGTTTTTTATATCGATCTTTTTGTTTTTATACATCTGTAATAAGCGTTAACTTATATCATGTGCGCGAAAACACCTAAGGGTTACTTTTCTCCTCTCATTTAACATTCACTTACAACTATTAATATTGCCCTAAATCAAATTCTGTCTAGACGATTAATAGATAGAATTCACCTTTTATTTTTGTCTCAAAAGCCGGAAAAAACAGACCTGTGAATATGAAATTTTCACTTGATGCCTGTTTGACAATTCGATCAGCGTACAAAATAACCGACAACAAAAATACTCAACGCATTTAGAAATGAAGACGAAAAAACCTTGTAACTGCTAGAATGTTTTTGAAACATTCAATAAAATCATCGACTCCAAATGACAAGTGATGATTATTGTTTCCTGTAACTCTGTGTGTTATTCACTGGCCAATTGTCCGAATGTGAGAATTGAAGCAAAACAGAAGTACACAGTTGACAGTATTGATTATTTGATTGTCAGTTATGACTGACTATTTTTCGTGACAGTCGGTTGTACTTTCTCGAGTGTGTTTACTCTTAATATAGAATGATATTTTGAGTATTTTCTTTCCCTGACTGTCTGTCTGTTTGTGTCCGTGTTTGTCTGTGAAGTTGAAGAGTCGTAGGAAAGGCGGCTTATTTTACGTCATGTGTACGTAAACACTTTTAGATGAAAGTGGTTGTATTTGAAGTGATTTAGTATTGATAATGACACCTAGCGTGACCCTGAGACATTCAGTTGAGATGTATTCACATTCGGAACTAAATAGAATTGACAGCTTTTGTATAGAGAACTCGAATTTATAATAGTTTCTGTGAATTGATGGATGTTTTAACCTGATTGGCGGCTAACACCAAGATCTAAGATAGACATTTCGTGTCGGTTGAGACTCGTACTTGCACCTCTGTTGGGGGTGATAATGTTCTCAATGAAACTGAATCCTGTCTATCGTGATGTCTTCAAAATAAAGGGATTAGCAAGTAGACGTCTGAACTACGAGATACACCTTTTGTCTCATGGTATTCGGTGGTTATTTTGCTGAATCGCTGATTAACCAGTTTTTTGGTGACCTGAAATTCCAGATCGGAAGTCTTTGTCGATGGTTTGAGGTAACTTTACTGTTATTTGATTGAATCAGGCAACTGTTTGATTTAAATTATATCCAGGATATGACATTTTGATGTTTTTATCGATTTTCTGTTTTGTTTGCTAGTTCACTGATACAGTGTTCGTCAACCATTCATGTTCAACCATGCCAAGTGAAATACTAACTCACGTCTTCCTGGAGAGAGAATAAAGGATCACTAGATGTGGAACTGTGCCTCACAGACCTGAATAAGCTTGATTCAGGAAAGGCAAATCATGTACTCATCAAACTGCAACTCTACGTATTGTCACAGGAAAAAAGTATCGAGTGGCGGTCAAACCTCTACCTCAACTTCATTGACTTTGAAAAGGCCTTCGACAGACAGCGTTGGCCGAGAAGTAATTTAGAAGCTACTGAAACGCTATGACGTGCAGTGCTCAAGTCCTTATCAATCTCATTCAACAGCTGGCTATATGACAGTGTTACGTGTCAAGTGGCGGTTGACAGCGGAAAGTTCAGCGAAGCATTCGAAGTGCATATGGAAGCGAGACAAGCATTCCGCCTATAACCGTCGATGATATTCTCAATTGCGGTGAGCTGGATTATGGAGTGAGAGACTGGGGAAATGAGAAGAAAGGAATACGTTAGATTGATGAGAAGACTCTAGAAGATCTGGATTTCGCGTGTGGATGATTTATGTTTGATGTCATACAAGCTCGAAGACTTACAGGCAGGCGAAAACCAAAAAAAATTAATGAAGAAGCAGTCAGCGAAGACAGGACTGCAGATGAACATAGAGAAGACTGATTTGATGAAGATAACCGAACTATTAGTTAACCAACAGCAACAATAACCGGCACCAACCACCATCAACTGGAGGAATTTGAAAGAGGCTACTCCCTTCACTTATCCGGCTAGGAATCATGGTTTCAACCACAGGTGGCAGAGTGTATGACGACTTCAAAGCTGGACACAATAGTAAAGTCAAGATATGCCTTTATCAACCTGAAATCAGTTTGGAAGTCTGCTGCAATGCACTCCATCTCAACATAAACAACAAAATTCGGATTTTCACCACAATATTGAAGTCAGTCGAATCTTCTATATGGGTCAGAAACTTGGCAGGCGCATCAAGGGAAGTATTTCCAACAGGCTACGACAGACTTTTATGAACAGCTGCCACCTTCTCTGCCTGGCTTGAAATTGAAGATCGAATGGTCAACTCTGGCTGGGAACAAATCAACCAACCAAGAACCGATTCCTCAACAAATATGTAAGATAAAATGGAGATGGATGAATTGAGCATACTTTGAGGAGCCAGTCGAATGACATGGCGATTAATGCAGGCCATCAATCGAGTGTGACCCCAATGAGAAGCAACAAGTGTGTTATCAGAGTTAGGATGACATGTAGGAGACCAGTCTTGCGAGGAGAGGATGAGAGATTTTGGGCAATCGTGATACCAAATGAAGAGGACAGCAGAAGATAAGACAAAGTGGAGATGTGTTGTTGAAGCCATTTTTTCCACTTGGAACTCAAGAGAATAATAGATATTATAAAAAAAATAATTATATATGTTTCTTGTAGTATTTGTGCTTGTGTATTATTCCAGGAGCATTTATGTATCATGATTTACCAGTAGTTGAATGAATAATCTGACATCCGATTCTACGATTTGTGATTAACTCGTTCATTTCAAAATCATAAGGAACACCCATAAGGAATGAAAGTTATCTGATAAAAACCTCTAAGAGAAGGGGACTGAAATAATCTTTAACTGTTGTATCGTCCTGTTAAAGTTCGTCTCCGTGAACTCGTTTCTATCTACAAACAAAATTTGAAGCAGCATTCAAAATCCAGCATCCAGGGATTCTGAAGTTGAATAATTTAGCCAATTATTCCTCTCAGACTAAAACGTATTCAGAATATTTACAAGTATGTTACACAAGTTGTTGTTGTTTTTTCCTTCACGTTCCCCAGTGGAACATAGGGCTTCAAGCTAGTGGCTTGAAGTTTCTGTAGCAGTGTTTATTTTACAGGATGGAGGTTGCTAGCCTCATGCCCAACCTTTCCCCTCCACCAGCATTATTTCTGGCTTATCGAGGTAAAGGAGTGCGTCGGTCGCGGGTCGAACCCCGGACCATGTGCATGTTACACAAGAGTTTACATAAATATATGAACAATTATTTCACATCACTTACCCGTGAATCGCTCTCAGAAATTTACGCTGATGTGTTCTCACTTTTGAAGCATCTACACGTTTAACAAGCTTTGTATATTTGTAAATAAGCCATGTTTCTCGAAGTACATTAGCTGCATAATTTTTCACCTACATATGACAAAAGGAGGTAAAGAAAGTGTCTAGTTTATCTGAACTATAGTCATATATGATTCTAATCATTTTGGCATCATTCAACCATTAAAAACCACCAAGGAGTACGGGACAGCTGTTTTTGTAGTATTTCACAACTCATCGACAGAACTCACCCACCGGGATTAGAACCTAGGATCTTCTACTCAGAAAGCAAACCCATTGACAACTGGTCTTTAACTAATAAAAATCCACGATCAAAGTTGACCACTGAGATCCGTCTAGCCAGATTTGAGGACAATACTTGTCGATCACATTGGCTGGTAGTCACTCTGGAAACACGAATTTATTGAAGTTAAAAACTGTGAACCATTTAATCTGGTCTCACTGACTGATTGGCCGACGAGCTTCCCGTGTAATCGACAGCTCCTGGATTCGAATCCCGGTAGTCATGTATGCATACTGTGCATCAGTCTCCAATTTGAATGAAACGACCGTCCAGTGAAACCAGTAACCCCTGGATTCCCACTGGTTCTCCAACAGATTTTAACTCGTGGTGAAACCAAATTTTCACAAATTAACTCTTTAAACAAAATGTATTATTTATTATTATTATTATTACATCCTTTAATTCCCAACCTGAACACAAGGCTTCAGCTGCGCGTCTCTATTACCTTCGGTTTTCTGCCAACTTTTTCACCCCGATCCAAGTCACCTCACATGCTTTCATCTTCTCTTCACATGACCTCCTCTAAGTCACCCACCGTCGCACTGACGACCAAATGGCCACTTCCCTTTCGGGTTCCACTACAGCAGTGGGTTATCTAGTGATGTCCCATGATGCATTGTTTTCTCAGAGTATGGCCGCCAATCCACCTCAATTTCCTCCTGCCTATTTGTTTCGCGATTGGTTCCTGGTTGGTTCGCACCCAGAGATATTTGTTGCTGATCTTTTCTGACCAGCCATCTGATCTTGAGTAGTATTGAGCGAAGACAACTGTTAATGAAGGTTTAAAGTTTGTTCGAAGTGCTCTTTATGACGTGCCAAGTCTCTAATCCGTATACAGAGTAGCACTGACTGACTTCACATTGCAGTTGAAAATCCGGATGTTGTTTTTGATGCTGACTGCTGTTGACCTTGACATAGACTTAAGAGTAATGAGAGCTTGTCTTGCTTTTCTAATTCTGGCTTTGATATCCTCGTCAGTTCCATCTGCCTGTAGTTGAAACGATGCTTCCCAGGTAGGTAGGTAGGTAAAGGAGGTTGTTTCTTTCAGGTTCCTCACATTTATGCTGACTGTCGTCTGTTGTTGTTCTTGCTGTTGCTTTTGGCCAGGAATCTTCATCATCTCTGTTTTATCTATGTTTATCTGAAGTCCTGTCTTTCATGCTTCTTCAGCTTGTTGCTTTTCCTTTGTATATCTTCCAGTTTGTGTGAAATCAGACATATATCATCATCGGCGAAGTCCAGATCCTTGAAGATTTTTGTGTGAGTCCGTTTTGTGCCTGTTTCCGAATTGCCCGCCGTTGTCTGTGTCATTATCCAATCTACTGCAATCAGGAAGATCATTGGCAATAGTAGACAGCCTTGCCTCACTCCCGTCCTCACTTCAAAGGATAAGTTCCCCGTTGTGGATTACTTGGAATGCAGCATTGTCGTATAACTGTTGGATGGGATGTATAATTGTCGATGGGACCCCTTGGTAGTAGCGAAGTAGTTTCCAAATCACCTCTCGATCGACACTGTCTAGTGAAGACCTTTTCAAAGACGACGAAGTTGAGTGAGGTGGAGAGGTGACTACCATTCCAAGCATTGTTCAGTGATGATCCTTAGGGTTTGGCGATTTGATCAATACATGATTTGTTTCTCCTGTATCCTGTCTTTAATAGCCTGCTTAATATTATCTGTTGTTAAGAATCAACATGAGTCAGAGCATCGCTGAAAACCTGAGGGAACTCACCCAAGATCCAAACAGTAATTCAACCTAGGGGCTTCAGGACATGTTTTACCGACGACTTCTAACATATGACAGATCAAATAACCCGAGCGTTAAGTGAGATGTCTGTTGGCAATCAGACTTACACTAAAATGAAACACAATCGGTACAGAACGACTAATTTGTGTATATATCTTTACAATTTTACTGCTTTCTTAAAAAACATGCACACATCCTTTTTCTTTCTAAAGCTTGTAGTTCCAAATTCTGTGTTATGTAATCTAAATATGCTGACGAATTCTATCTAGTTGGCTACTTTTTCGAATGACGTAATCCAATGCCCTATTTTAAAATCTCTTGAGATTTTCAATTTATATTTGAATGGTTATTAACAAAATTGTTTTATGACAGTAGCAATAATAATAGTGGTAGTAATAAAGTGTAACAATTGAACACCATCAATCTCTCGCCTGAATAACACTGTTTAACATTTTGAATTTATTTGCTTTTGTTTTAATAAATCAAATGAATTGAAACATTGAGCATAAATTTTGATTTTTAATCAACTTGTAAATATTGAAACAATGATGCCAATAATAATAATAATAATAAATGCTTTTTGAATTGTTTCAATTTAAATTTACCTTTTTATTTAACTGATTCTCCATCATAAAATGAATCACATGCTTTTCAGCTTTGGATAATTCCAATTTTCTTGCAAATACAGCTACCACAAGCGCTGTACAACCAGAACCCTAATAATAATAATAATAACGATCAGGAGAAGGAGAATTAGAATAGTAAGAGTAATAGTGAGAGTAAATGAATCATGAAATAAATGAAAAAGAGTTGAGTAAACATGAAGATTACTCTAACTCACCTCTAACCTTGACGTAGTGACAAACATTTTCTGCCATGGTAATTCAGAAATAGCATGCTGACAAGTCATTCACATGGCCTGAAGTATGCTTCCCAAAAGACATACACACACAGGTTAAGTTTTCTTCGCTGGTAGTGAGTTGAAAAAATGAGGAGAGTTGCTGTAAAGACAACTGCACAAGTACGACTGAAACTTCAAGGTCTCAAGATGAAGTCTTACATTTCAGTCAGAATGTGTGGCGATAAAAAAGGAGACACAGGAAGTGGAGAATATTGATTTATGTGTTAGGATATTAAATAAAGTATAATTATATTTGAGTAGTTTACACACAATGATAAGTTTTGTTATTGGTTATTATATTATATATTATATATTATTAAGCTATGGGGATCTGAAACGGGGATCTTCACAAACGACTGTACTGATATGAAGGGAATAGCGAAGTATTAATAGTTTAGAAATGATGTAGGTGAGTGTACAGATGGAAGTCTGTGAAATTTCTGTGTATTGGAGATAATACTGACCGATAAGTGCTAATAAACATAAGCCTCTAGTCTTAGATTTCCTGAAGGATTGATGGTATTCACTTGAATGGATCCCAAGTATTAAATAGGTGTAAAGTTGTAGAGCATGAGGATAAAACAATTCGGATTTTTGACAGTAATGTCGATTAAGTTCTTCTGTGTGGTTCAGGATCCTGGTGCGTCAAGGAAAACATTTTCAACAGGCCGTTGAAGGCTTTATTATTATTATATTATTGTCTCTTTTATTTCCCAGTGGAACATAGGGATTCAGACGAACGTCTCCATTGAGTTCGGTTCTCCGCAAACGTTTTCATCACCTAGCTCCACGTCTGCCCACATACTTTCATCTCCTCTTCACATCGCCTCCTCTTCTTCCATGTCATTCTCGCAATGACCACCAACTCGCCTCTTCCCATTCGCGCTCCACTCAAGTGATGGCTTGCAGTGCGTGTGATATCACTTGATGGTTTTCTCAGAGTATGGCCGGCCAATAAAACTCCATTTCTTCATGAATATTTGTGGCGAGACTGGTTCCTCCTGGCAAGCCATCTGATCTTGAGCGAATTATTGAGTGAATACTGCTGTTGATGAGGGTCTGTAGTTTGTTCGAAGCTCTCTTCATGACGCGCCAAGTCTCTGATCCATGCAGAAGCACTGAAGGCTTTAGTTAACAGTTACCTTCGCTGGATCAACACACTGACAATAAAATGACTGACCAGCCTGAATATAGAAGCAACAAGGACTTTTGTCAATCAATTAGCCAATTGGCCTATCACCCGACGAACATGACGAATGAAATAGAGATTGACTGGACATAGGCTGAGGAAAACGTTGAGTAATATCACGGTCTAGACAAGCCCTCAAATAAAACCCTATTGGGAAAATCCGAGTTGGGTCTTATTCCAAGGACAACATGGAGAAAGACTTACGACGAGGCAGTGAAAGCCTATCAGTGATAATCGATGCAGTTAAAGAATACTGCGGAGGACAAATTGATGCATTATGTTTCACTAGTAAACCAAAAGAATAATATTAATTTCTAATTGCATCATGTTTCTTATATGTTTATGAGTGAATTGTCTCTCTTATATAAGACATGTAACTGAACAATACTGTTTTTATGCTTAGGTTTTATTCCATGTAACTATTTCTTACATATTGTTGGGAGAATTTTCAAATGTTGAATTCATGCGAATTCGATTGATTGCACCAATGAACATCATTTAGACCAGTGGATATGTATGTGTGTATGCTTCGTCCCAGCTAGGGACTCGTCAGTAGTTGTGACTTTGAGCTTTGCTACGGTTAAAGGTGAGCATATAAGTCACTAACAGAAATATCGCTTCTTCATTTTTCTTCTATCTACTGTAGACAACATATAGGTCACTTCTAGGTTGATTTCAACAGATAAAGTTTGAAGTTTTCAGATTTTCAGAGGAGCTGCTAAGTTATTATGAAGTGGGATAAGAGTAAATAAAGCTGTCATCTCTTGAATATCGAGTTGCGTTATTTTTTTCTTCCCAAGAAAGTGTGAATTCTATGCCGCCAAAATAAATAATAAGAGGTCAGATATCAGAAATATATCTTTCATGCGCTTATCAATTAGACTAGTAATGCAACACTCACACACTTGGACCAACTAGCTTTCCATTGGGTACCTGATCCAGTGAGTCATATATCAATGACGGGGTGGTTACTTTCATCTCTGGTCTATCTCTGTTTTGAAGGTTAAGGATCACCTTATATACGTATGATTTATTTTACCGGTTCATCCTCTAAAGTCGTTAAATACTCTCTAAACCAGTGATACGCGTCGGTAAAGCAGCGGTAGAATGCTCTCCAAATACGCCTCATATGCTCTGGGATTCGATTCTCAGCCACGGACGCATCCCCTTACCTCACTAAACAGGTATTAAGACCGCCAAAAGGAAAAGGTTAGGCATAAGTCTGGCAGTCCCATCCAGTAAAAATAAACACCACTGCTAACAAGACTTCAACCCTCTATTTTGAAACCTTATGTTCCCCTGAGAATATAAAGGAATAAAAACACCCTGTGATGACAGGATGACAAGATGCGGACAGGTAAACTCGAAGTTATCTAGTCAATAGTCTACCTTACTTAGTCGAGGGATGTATAAGATGAACCGATCTCAAGATATTTCCGGCCGTTCAAAGTTTACCAGTCTGTCACGATAGGAAATGTTGTATAATCAAGGTAGTAGCGAACAGGGTAGCTGTTCCGGATCGTTTATAATATCTTATCGAATTAGCACCCTCTCTTGTCGCTCAATTGTAAATTCCCTATTTGTATATGCATCGTTGAATAATCTGAGTAGGTAGGTAGCATGACGCTCATTGTTGAATATTAAATGAACATGAAAATAATGGAAAGTTCCATTTGATTGACATTGCCAAGCAATGTCTTGAAGATGGTAGTCTCTAGAGGTCAATCTGCTCAAAAACCTACATGGAATGGACAATACTTACATTTTAATAGATTTTGTCCAAATAGATATAAACTAAAACTAGTCAAAACTCCGTAATTTAGAGCGAGGAGAATATGCTCTGCAGAGAAACCAGAGGAGGAATTTACGATTCTCGAAATAAATGCTGAAAAACAACGGTTATCTTCAAAGCCTCATTAAGAGATATGGAAGATATGACGGCTCAAACATCGAACAAATCACTGTTGAAAAATTCCTGTCTTTATTCAACTAGATTTTAAAGGTGAAAACATTACAGCGATGGTCAACAAACGACCGAGTACGTCACAAACCAGAGCGGTTATATTAGTAGAACATGTGCCAAAAAGCCTACGCCTCAGGGGAACAAACTCTTATAATATCGTCATTATCAGACATCTCCTAGATACAAGTCATCAGGTGAAAGTCTCAAATTCCTTTAAAATTATCGATAGACGAAGAAGTCCGATTCTCCTCAAGTTTGATGAAGCAATTTCTATCAAACGCTTGAAACTAGATTTATGTGTTCAAAAGGAAGTAGTTATTAGTCTTTCCTTGCCAACCTGGTAATTGGATGTCTTTATTCTTGCTTTCATTTCAATACGTAATCTTTGGCTTTAGCCTCAATTCTCCCCCCCCCATTGACATAGTTTAATTTTGCTAGTCTCTTGTTTCTATGATTTGAGTTGAAGTCAATGCATCGCCACCTAATTTATAAGTCGCTCATCATCTTACGCACCTCTCGTGTTGACTACGTAACTCCTCTGCCATTGGATGAATGCATTGATTTTGTTTAAACTTGAAGTTTCTGTTTAAAAGCTATATAAGTGTAATTTTTGGAGCACTGTCCACTCATTGTGAAACCTCCTATGAACTGACATTATGTAGGGTTTCCAAGAAGGTTAAAAATTGTTTCTGCACATAAAGTTAATATTAATTTTTCTAGGCTGTAACCAGCGGCTGATGAGAAGCCAACGAAATAAATGCTAATACCATATTATTTTTGCAGAAATCACACCTTATTAAAATTCATCAAGGGGAATAAATGCATGAAGTTCGACCTTTCTAATCAATGATCACTTGACTGAATTCAGATTAAACCAGACAAACAGATGACGCCACTGTTGGAGAAGGTGTGGAAAGAAGGCAAAGTACCTGAGGATTGGAAGAAAGGATACTTATTTAAACTACCGAAGAAAGAAGACTTAAGCCAATGAAAAATTGGCGTGGAATTATGCTCATGTCCATCCCAAGCAAAATACTAAACCACATCATCCTGGAGAGAATCAAACACCCCGACCTGGACCGAAAACGCCGACCCCAACAAGCTGGATTCAGGAGAAAGAAACAAGTCATGTATTGATCAAATCGACAAACCCTGAGGATCATCATTGAACAAAGCTTGGAATGGCAGTCACCTCTCCACCTCAATCAACTTCGTCGACTATGAAAAGGTCTTCACTAGACAGTGTCGATCGAGAGGCGATTTGGAAACTACTTCGCTACTACCAAGGGGTCCCATCAACAATTATACATCTCATCCAACAGTTATACGACAATGCTGCATTCCAAGTAATCCACAACGGGAAACCTACAGATTCCTTTGAAGTGAGGACGGACGGGAGTGAGGCAAGGCTGTCTACTATAACCAATGAACTTCCTGATTGCAGTAGATTGGATAATGACACAGACAACGGCGGGCAATGAGGAAACAGGCATAAAATAGACCCACACGGGAATAGAACTTGGAGGATCTGGACTTCGCCGATGATGATATATGTCTGATTTCCCACAAACTGGAAGATATGCAAGTGAAAAGCAACAAGTTGGCAGAACAAGCATCGAAGATAGGACTTCAAGTGAACAGAGATAAAACAGAGGTGATGGAGATTCCTGGCCTACAGCATCAGCAACAACAACAACAGACGATAGCCAGCATAAATGTGAGGAACCTGAAGGAAACAGCCTCCTTCACCTACCTATCTGGAAAGCATCGTTCCAACTACAGCTGGATGGAACCGACGAGGATATCAAAGCAAGGATCGGGAAAGCAAGCAAAGCTTTAATTACTCTCAAGTCTGTGTGGTGGTCAACAGCACTAATCAGCAGAAAAAATAAGATCCGGATTTTCAACTCCAATGTGAAGTCAGTCAGTGCTACTCTGTATACGGATTAGAGACTTGGCACGTCACAAAGAGCACTCCTAACAAACTACACACCTTCATTAACAATTGTCTTCGCTCAGTGCTACTGAAGATCAAATGGCCGGTCAGAAAAGATCAGCAACAGAGATCTCTGGCATTGAGCGAACCAACCAGGAACCGATTTCAAAACAAATAGGCAGGAAGAAATGGAGGTGGATTGGATGGCCATACTCTGAGAAAAGAAACCATCAAGTGAGTGACATCACTAGACAAGCCATTGCTCGTGTGGAACCCGAATGGGAAGCGGCGAGTTGGTCATCAGTGCGACAGTGGGTGACTTGGAGGAGGTCATGTGAAGAGGAGATGGAAGCATGTGGGCAGATTTGGAGCGGAGTGAAAAAGTTGATGGAAAATCGAAGGCAATGGAGAGGCGTGGCTGAAGCCCTATGTTCCTCTAGGAATTAAAGGATATAGTAATAATAGTAATAGATTTACAAATGATACTTCACTATAATTACTTACCATGACACCAGTTGCTAAAGCGATAACTCGACCACAATATGTATGCGGTACAATATCACCGTAACCAATACTCAAAAATGTTACAGCTATTAACCACATTGAATTGAGTAAATTCCCATTTTCTGTATCATAAAAACTATATAATGAAAACGGAGAAAGAAATTAGGTGAATACAGTTATTGAAGTGTAAATTGTAGACATATATATATATATACATTTCCACGGAGCTATAGCTTCACATGGTGAGGATAATTAAAGAAGAGTTTTATTTTCTATAGTTGATTTGTAAGGATTAGATTTGTTGTTACGAGTTGATCACGGATTGATATCGGTTGGACAGAACCATTGAAAATCAGCCACAAGGAGTAGTGAACAACCAGCTGTTTCATCCCACTAGTTTAGGAATCATCGGCAGTACGCCGATGAAACTGATTGATACCAGTGGCATTAAAAAAAATCACGAATTAGTAAAAGTTAGAAAGTATGCGTTAGCCATTGAATCAGGTCGTAGTGGCTGAATGGTATACAAATTTGCCTTATAACCATAAGGTCCTGGGTTCAAAAACCATGGCAATGGGTGCGTATTGCGGATGATTCTCAAAATTGGATGAAACAGCCATCCAGTACTCCAGTGCAGGGTTTTGAATGGTTCTCTAGCTGATATCAATCCGTGATGAACTCTTAAAAAGAAGAGTAAGCATAGTAAGAACAGCCTATTACTGAAAGTTGAAACAGTTCGTCTGGACATTCAGGCTCACTTCTTCCTTCGATGAAAACAGTAGGACAAGGGATTTCATATTATTTATTGTAAGTAGTTATATCTGATTTTGTAACCTGTTGTAGAGCGCAAATGATACGAGATATATATGTTACTTACTGACGTGACTATTCAGAGACCGAATACGTCGTCCAGTAGTTCCTACCGGTTAGACAAATGCGATTTAAATGGTATTCGGTTTTGAAAGAAAAAGGTTGATTTGTCTCGCTGGTTGGATCCCTTCAGATATACCATTAAGATCATCTGCCTTGCACTTAGATTACCTACTGTTTGTTTTGTCTGGCTGTATATACTAATAATATATAATAGTTAGGAGATCACAGGTATATTTGATCAATATCACATTTTTCAGGATATGATTTTTGTTCAAAACTGACAACCGACTTTTTTCTGGTCTGATTTAAGAGATACAGATGTGCCTTATCATCGAACACTGGTGTGTACACAGTGTTCAACAAACATACATGGATAGTTAAATGTTCGTTTACAGAGATTTGGTTGGTTTCAGAATGTCATCATCAGTCGACATTAGTTGGAGGACTATTGGAAAACGTGAGGATACTTGGCAGTTGTTACGTCCCAGTTCGGGACTCTTTAGTATTATTATTATTATATTCTTTAATTCCTAGAGGAACATAGGGCTTCAGCTGCGCATCCCCATTGCCTTCTGTTTTCTGCCAACGTTTTCACCCCACTCCAAGTCTGATCACATGCTTCCATCTCCTCTTCACATGACCTCCTCCGAATCACCCTCACACTGACGACCAACTCGCCGCCCCCATTTCCCTTACAAGCAATGGTTTGTCTAGTGATGTCACTCACTTGATGGTTTCCTCAGTGTATGGCCATCCAATCCACCTGCATTTCCTTTGGATATTTCTTTCACAATCGGTTCCTGGTTGGTTCGCTCATTTCTAGAGATTCCTGTTGGTGATCTTTCCTGGTTGGCCATATCATCTTGAGTATTCAGCGAAGACAATTGTTAATGAAGGTGTGTAGTTTGTTCGAAGTGCTCTTTATGACGCGCCAAGTTTCTGATCCGTATATTACCCCTTACTGCACATTGGAGTTGAAAATCCGGATCTTATTTTTGATGTTGAGTGATGCTGACTTCAACACAGACTTAAGGGTAGTGAAAGTTTGTCTTGCTTTTCCGATTCTGGCTTTGATATTCTCGTCAGTTCCATCTGCCTATAGTTGAAACGATGTTTCCCAGATAGATAGGTGAAGGAGGTTGTTTCTTTCAGGTTCCTCACATTTATGCTGACTATCGTCTGTTGTTGCTATCTCTGTTGGTGTTGGCCAGTAATCTTCATCACCTCTGTTTTATCTATTTTCACCTGAAGTCAGATCTTCCCTTGATTGTTCTTCTGCCAGCTTGTCGCTTTTCACTTGCATATCTTCCAGTTTGTGGGAAATCAGACATATATCATCATCGGCGAAGTCCAGATCCTCCAAGTTCTATTCCCGTGTGGGTCTATTTTATGCCTGTTTCCTCATTGCCCGCCGTTGTCTGTGTCATTATCCAATCTACTGCAATCAGGAAGTTCATTGGTTATAGTAGACAGCCTTGCCTCACTCCCGTCCGTCCTCACTTCAATGGAATCTGTAGGTTTCCCGTTGTGGATTACTTGGAATGCAGGATTGTCGTATAACTGTTGGATGAGATGTATAATTGTCGATGGGACCCCGTTGTAGTAGCGAAGTAGTTTCCAAATCGCCTCTCGATCGACACTGTCTAGTGAAGACCTTTTCATAGTCGACGAAGTTGATTGAGGTGGAGAGGTGACTGCCATTCCAAGCTTTGTTCAATGATGATCCTCAGGGTTTGTCGATTTGATCAATACATGACTTGTTTCTTTCTCCTGAATCCAGCTTGTTGGGGTCGGCGTTTTCGTTCCAGTCTGGCGTGTTTGATTCTCTCCAGGATGATGTGGTTTAGTATTTTTCTTTGGAATGGTCGTTTCTCATCGTTTTTAGTTAAAAATAACGTGTTAATCTGTAAACTTTAGTGAGAACTACGCCCATTTCGCCTTGCAATAAATATTCAACAGTTATATGTGATCGATTGATGCAAATATGTATCCTGTTTACATAAGGGGCCTGTAGAAATAGTAATGTCAACAAATTTTTATGATAACGATGATTTTAATTAATAAATAATAAATCATATGCGATAGATTGATTATTTTACAAAAGAAACTATCGATTACTTCCTTCCTTTATTTAATCAGTTGTTATTAATTAATAAATACATCATCCTTTGAGGGATAATAATAATTTAATGAATTATACATTATATGGCTAATCTAATATTTTAGCGGAGAGATTTGTAATGATTATTGATTTAATTTGTTTAAATTCAATGGTTACGTGTGAAAAAGGCGGCGGATATTTTAAATTTTCTAAAACACAAAGCTTTCATTACATCCTATTATATTATTATTATTATATTCTCTCTTTTACTCTCATAATTGCAAACACCAACTTATCTCCATGACGGCTGTAATCTATGTTTTTTCCTTCACCATATCATGTAGAAAGAACATTATATTCAATATTTTTAAACATGTTAGGATTTCTATACCACATTGCCAGTACTGTGTGACACAAGCCAACGGCAATTTTCACTTGTATTCTTATTATTATTACCCTAGCTGTTATCATTATTATTGCTATTTCCATTTTATATGCTGCATGTTTTTGACACTACCTCTATTGTAAATGTGGAAAATTTTCTGTGATTAATTTTATTTATAATTTGAGGAAATTAGATGCAATATTGTGATTAATGCTGAAGATTCCATTCTGTATCACAAGTACTGTTTTTGGAATAAAGTAAATCATTATTATTATTAAAAACATGTGTACACCATAAGACTATGACAGCAAATAGCCTTCCAGAAGCTTTACTTTGATAAAATTTGCAGATGGTAGTCGTGGAAGTGATGGGGATTTGGGAATTTTACGATTCTATGGATAGAAATGCTTACAGGCTACAAAAATGAACATTCTAATGGTGTATATCTCATGTTAATCTTGATATTTCAAGGCGTATGTCGACCATTGGTTAACCGATAACAAAATGATTGGAACTTGAATCTAGGATTTCACTGTTAGCTACTCTGATTGTCCAATAAAATAAATTCTAGATTTTAATATTTGATTTTTAAGGATGTACTGACCAAATTGCAACTCTACGCATCATCATCACAGAACAAAGCATGGAATGGTAATCAAACCTCTACCTCAACTTTATAGACTTTGAGAAGGCCTTCAACAGACAGCGTTGATCGCGAAGTAATTTGGAAACTACTCGTGTACTACGGCGTACAGTTCCCCAAATATTCATCAACCTTATTCAACAGCTGTACGACAAAGGCACATATCAAGTGATCCACAACAGAAAACTCAGCGAGGCGTTTCGAGTAAACACAGGAGTCAGACAAGGGTGCTTACTATCACCAATTATATTCCTAAGTGTGGTGGACTGACTGGATTATGCGTCAGACAGTGAGTAGGAAACAAGCAGACAGGAATATCCTGGACCAACGCGAAGAACCTAGAAGACCTGGATTTCGCGCGTGGATGATTTATGTTTGATGTCACACAAAATCGAAGACTTACAAGCGAAAACCGACCGGTAAGTTGGTCGAAGAAGAAGCTAGCAAAGACAGGACTCCAACTAAACATAGACAAGACGGAGGTTATGAAAATAACCAACCACCAACAACAACAACAACAGCAAGATCCAGCGTCAATCACAATCAACGGGAGTGATTTGAAAGAGGTTACTTCATTCACTTATCTAGGGAGCATTGTCTCAACCACACGCAGTCGGAACGGACAAAGATTGCAAATCGGGAATCAGGAAGATGAGAAACACATTCATCAGCCTGAAATCAATCTGGAAATCTTCGTCACTCAGCCAACATCAACAATAAAATTCGGTCGGATTTTCAATACAAACGTAAAGTCAGTTCTTCTATACGGATCAGAAACTTGGTGGGTGGCCACAAAGAATATTTCCAACAGCCTGTTGCAGACCTTTGTTAACAACTGTCTTCGCTTTATACTGAAGATCAGATGGCTGGGCCGGAAAGAATCACCAACAAGGAACTATGGGAACAAACAAGGCAAGAACCAATCGCCAACCAACAAATATGCAGGAGAAAGTGGAGATGGGTCGGACATTCGCTGAGGAGACCGCTGGGTGACATCGCGTCAAGCCCTCGATTGGAACCCGAAAGTGAAGCGGCGTGTGGGACGTCCAAGGGTGACATGGAGGAGATCGTGTGAAGAGGAGTTGAAAGAGTATGAACTAACATGGATGCGGGTAAAAAGTATGGAAGAAGACA